TTGATGATTTTTATATTCAGGTTACGTAGTTTGGTGATAGTTTCACGGTATGATTGGTTTGTGGGAGTGGATTGGCGAGAGAACATACTTAAAAGGTTATACATGGAATAACAAAGATAAACGTTTAGAGTTACACAACCTCGATTAATCGCCGTGATGAATTCAAATTCGATGACGAGGAACCCACTTTGAGACTAATAATGGCCGGTTTCTGGCGTTGTAAGTCCGCAGACATACCGCTGTGTCACTGAAGTGGGGTTATTAGAATCGACTTGTTTTTGGTTGTGGTTTTGTTCTCTTTCTGTGTGTTTTGCGCCCCAATGTCACAGTGGTATGCCTGCGGACTTACAACGATAGAAATCGGGTTTCGATACCCGTGGTGGGCAGAGCACTGATAGTCAATTGTGTAGCTTTGTGCTTAATTACAAACAAACAAATGGAATGCTATTAAAGGTGCACAAGATAAACAACAAATATTAACATTTATCAGTCAATTTTTAAAGGCCCGTCATGCCAGATGGTTAGGGCGCTTGACTTGCAACCTGAGGATCGCAGGTTCAAATCCCCATACCAAACATGCTCGCCATTTCAGCCGTGAGGCATTATAATGTAACGGTCAATCCCACTATTCGTTGGTAAAAGAGTAGCCCAAAAATTGGCGGTGGGTGGGGATAACTAGCTGCCTTCCCTATAGTTTTTCACTGCTAAATTAGGGACGGCTAGCGCAGATACCTCTCGTGTAGCTTTGCCCGAAATTGAAACCAAACTGTGTGTTTTGGGAGAAAATGTGTTTATTTTAAATAACTTTGTATATTTCAAATTGTTCCAATTTTGTTGCATTTCTTGCACTTTAGGTCCAACTAAATGTACCAAAAATATAAAATAATAATAATAATATATCTTTTTGGTACATTTAGTTTAAGGCTTAAGTGTTGTATTTATTTTTCGGTGCATTTCACTAATATATTTCTGTTTTAATTACATTTGGTTCGCTTTGTTTTTAAGATTTTTCCATTAAAGTTTCAATTCCATACAGTTTACAACAATCTATCTGAATCGTTTCAACTTTAAGTTCATAATATATATCGAGAGTGGTGGTGTAGAAGTAAAAGTGTATGTTGTGATAAAACTGAGCAAAGTCGAAAGTAAACAATTTAGTAGAAAGTCAATGCTTTAACTTTTAAGTGTTTATTGAAATTGGACGAAATATTGCATCTTGGTTACAACTTGCAATACAAGTGATTTGTAAATGTAAGTTAAACGTTTGTATGTTCTACATTAAGTTATAAACAAATTAAAACGTATATGGTAAATATAGTTTATGTTTGATTTTGAAAAGTTATGAGAACAATGCCTATTCTGGAACTACATTCTTTAAAACACTATTACTATAACTTGTGTAAGTGCGAAGGCCACACCTATTGACGTATAGTTATACGTTTATAAAAGCATTAAACTTTTAAAGGTTAACTTAGTATGGTTTTGAATTTTTCAATACACTAAAGAGTTAGCGTTAGTAAATGTAGTTGGTAATATTTGATATTATTACTAATAATACTAATAATAATAGTATAGTGGAATAAGGAGTAGGATAAAGTAAATATAATTTAAATAAATCAGAAATAATAAGGTAATTGTTATGTACATCATAGTATTTTTAATTCGTAATTTATATAGCACTTTGGTAAGACTACATTTGCATTTTGTATTAAAAATCTAAAGCATAGTCATTGGTCCCAGCTATAAAAAGTATAAACTAATAAAGTAAAAGTTATTGTAACTAGTATAGAATCAGAGCTGGGTTAAGTAGTATGCTAAACATGTACAAATCAGAAAGAGGCCCTCAATGGCAACATAATAAATGAGGTTCCTTAAAAGGTGACAAAATTTTCTCAAATTACTACAGCTAAATATTTCCTTTGAAATATACATTTTGAATTAAAGACAACACAAAATATCAATGTACAAAAACAAGTTTTCAATGCTAAGCTAATTCAGTTTTGTAGGCTAGTGTTGTTGCAATGTTCCTTTAATTACTTCATCTTACTGAGTTTATAGTTATTGCAAACTTTTAATTAAATATTTCATGCATAAATTGTGATTAGGGTTGTCTAAACAAATCAAATGCACCCTTGTAATGAAGAAAAGTACATTTTGCATTAATTTAAAGCTAGATTGTCATTGGTTAATAACAGTTGTACAGTTCATTGGTCAGTTATGTTTGTTGTGACAAAAAAAAATTAATATTTATGGCAATTCACTAGCACTTACTGGAAACAGTCAGTCATAACCAATTTTTGAAGTGTCAATAAAAATGTCGGGAATCACATACGGTCGAAACTTTAGATGCGGTAGAAATTATTGATAAATTTGCTGCAGTCAAAGCGTGGAAAGTGTTATTTTGAATCTGCATAATATGTACAGTGAAGTGTACTGCAAAGTGTGATATCACTATACAAGTCATAATACAGTCATGCTGTACATGATATCTGCATAATATGTACAGTGAAGTGTACTGCAAAGTGTGATATCACTATATAAGTCATACAATACAGTCATGCTTTTTAAAAATAGTATTATATAAGTTTGATTTCAACAAGTTCTTATCAAAAGGAAAAAAATCTTATTTTGTAAAGAAACGAATAGATATTTTTGATATATTCTTGTTGAATTGTTTGGGTTTCTCTTTGGATGTTGGGTTCGTGCTTGAGGGTCCCATAATATTTGCTGTTCATGGGGCCTTGTATAGAATCAAGGTAAGTACTACTACTACTACTAGTATGCACTGAGGTCAAACTACTAGATACTTCCAAAAGGTCAGTCAGGTTATTGGACACAATTTATAACATTGTTTTCCTGTTTCAGGTGTTGGAAGATTTACAACTAGAAATGAAGAGAGTAAACAAACAAAGAAACATAAATGAAGAATATTCTAAAACCATCTGATGATAATATTGTGTTCTCTCCCTTTTTTTTTCAACTGTGATACTTGTAAAGTAGAAGAATTGTAACCTTTTGAGAAAAACAAAGAATATAAAGTATATGTGTATTAACTGCTCAGACCGTAACTAGGGGAAATGTTTTCATTTCTAGAAAAATCTTCCATTTGCCTAATTTAATTTCCATGCACCTGTGTTTAATACAGAAAATTAAAAGATCAAGAAAAAAAAAAAGAGACATTATGCCTCCCCCCCAATAATATTGCACAGCCTAGGGCAATTTTAATATACAGTAAATCAAAATTCAGCCCACGAGCCATAATAAGCACTTTTAAGTAGTTGATTTACACCTCAGTAGAGAAAAAAAAAAAATTGCACCATCTCTTTTCATTGCAGATGTGTTCTACACCTTGTCCCCTATAATATCTCATAATTTGGGACAATTTTACATAATTTTTTTAATGCATGGTAAGTTAGCCTATTAGCAATAATAGGCACTTATACAATAGATGATTTTCACAAACAATAAAGAATAAATACCATACCATTTATCCTTCTGAAGATGTGTTCTGCACATATCCACCTGTAATATATCACAGTTTTGAGGAAAAGTTAGTGTAGCTTTTTTAATGCATAATAAGCTGTCAGCCTATTAGCAATAATAGGCACTTATACAATAGATGATTATAATTACTATTCTCAGTGCATTGTATATGTATTCTACATATGTCCTCCTGTAATATCTCGTAATGTGGGGAAATTTTACTGGAGCTTTTTTAATGTAATATAATGCTAAAAACAGTCCTCTGCTTCCATTGGTTGGGAATCTGTAAAATGTTTCAACAAATTCCCGTGATAAGCAACCCAAAGTTTAGACATCCCATTCAGGTATTTAATCTTCCAGTACATTTGGACTGTTGAGTGTAATTACGTTCACCATGTGGAAACAAAGACCATTTATGTAGCTTTATTAACTTAAACTTTGGGTTGCTTATCATGTAACTTTGCTGATATTTTATATTGATTCCCAACCAGGCAACATTGTTGACAAACAAAGGAAGCAGATTAGGTTACATGTTTCAAATACTTTTATTATAAATATGGATTAATTGCATATCGAACATAGAATAAAAGGTAATGATCTTGTTTGGTAAATGCTATAAATGTTACAGTTTGAACACTCGGAAGATATTTCAACATGTGGAACGAAGACTTCTCAAAGTTATCTGATGCTTTTGTGAAAGTAGTTGATTGTAGGATTCACAGACATCAAATAATTGAGGTAAAAAAATGTTTTTAAGCACAATAAAAATGTTTAATTTTTCTTTCAGTAATATACATATAACTTTATCAAATAAAAATTGTTTATATATATATATATATGTATACAATTTTTTCAAATAAACTGTATTGCATCAAAAGCATACAGGTGATCACTCAGAATTCTGACAACATTATAATATAACCTATAATTTATTAATTGTACATGTAGATGTACGCGCCAACAAGTAAGTGAACGCGCCAAAAAAGTTCTAATATAACAATGTAAAATTATACCGTTTCTACAAAAGTACAAAAGGTACCATTTTAAAGTGAAATAGTCTGCAGTTATAGCTCCCAAAAGCATTGGGGATATTCCGTCTATCAGACATAATCAAAACAACAGATGCAGAGCTAGTCAGCATGTAACTGAAAAAAAAAATGGGATTAGGATCTGGGTGCTAGAATTCACAATGTCCCAGATCCCACTGTCACTCACCATCTATAGCCGGTTGTGGGTATGATAGTTATCCCTAAAAAAAACAACATAAAAATAGAAATAAGATATTAAACCACCCTTGATTTCTATCATAGATCATCCAACCTTCTCTTTAGTATATTTACTCAATATTAAATTACGAAATATACAACCTTACTGTACATTTCAAGTAATAATATTTATTTA